CCTTTGGAAACTGTTTAAGTCCCTCATTCTCTATTTTAAAAAGTAACAAAACAGAAACATAAGGTGCATATCTCTCTAACTGTCAAGCCCTGATCCTTTTTTAAAAAATATACTTTATTGATGTTTAACAGAGAGGAAGGGAGAGGGATAGAGAGCTAGAAACATCGATATCAGCTGCCTCCTGCACACCCCCCACTGGGGATGTGCCAGCAACCAAGGTACATGCCCCTGACCGGAACCGAACCTGGGACCCTTCAGTCCGCAGGCCAACGCTCAAACCAGTTAGGGCTCAAGCCCTGAACCTTAAACCTGAAGTGGAATTATTATCCCCACGGGGACGCAGAGAGTGGAGCCACTTGGCCAAAGTCACAGAAGTGCGCAGTGGTAGCAGGATTGGAGTCACGTCCAGTCTTGATTCCACACCACCCTGGCTGGACACCCTCTCCCCCGCCCCCAATTTCCTCTCCCCTCTTCCAGACTGGGGTCCGGGTAAACCCAATGGGGGGATCCCCAACCCCGGGCTTTTAGCCCTGCCAAGGGCTGGGAAGATTCGGAGCCGAGATCTGGCGCTGGGAGGTAGCGCTGCGCTTTGGAGCGAAGGGACCTGGGACAAAGGACAGGACCGCAGCCACCGCACCCCCTGCCGGGCTCCGCCCACGGGTCCGCCTGCGCGGAGGGTGCCCCGCCCCCCCCACCAAGGTGCAGTTTTTTTCGATCCCGGAGCTGATTGGCTGGCTGAGTACCCAACCTACAACTGGTTGGATAACTGAGGCTGAGGTTCCTGGAAATTGGCCGAGAGCGACGGCTGCCCATTGGCTCAATCGGAGTTGGGCGGACGCAGCGGTTTAACACTGATTGGCTAGAGTAGGTCACACACCTACTGCTTATTGGTTGAAGATAATTGATTGGCGTCCTTCACTCTTTTCCAATAGTGTAATCAATCAGCCGAGGGCCCACCGGAAAAATGGAAATTAACCCGTTGGACTCAAGAGATGGCCGCGGGCGAGCTTGACCCGCGGCGCAGGGCCGCTCCCGCACTCGGGCCGCAGCCTCGGGGCTGCAGTTTCCCTCCTGGTCTCAGGGCCGGGGCCTCTGCGTCCCCTCCGTCCTGGCGGCTGACCTCCTCGCGCCCCAGTCCCGGCCTCCGTCCCAAGGAGGCGGCTCGGCTGGAGCACTAATCCCTGCAAGCAGAAATCTTTCCCTCAGTTTCCTCATTGGTCCCCATGAACCCTGTTACCACCCCCTCCCCTGCAGAGTGGCCGCAGGCCTCAGTTTCCCCAGGGGTCCCCCGGAGGGTGGAGCCCCCGCCTCCCGGCC